TTAGTGGTGAACGGGTGTTTATTAGCCAATGTAGATTACTAGCTTTAAATTTAAGTAGATTTCTCTTCGCTTCGATGTGTTTACGCCAAGTAAGCCTTCTATCCAGATGAACACCAAGGTATGTTACTTCGGTGGTTTGTGGAATGTTGATATTGTTCAGACATAATGGAGGCCAAGTTTGTCTGTTTAACGTAAAGGTGACATGCTTGCACTTTTGCTCATTTGCATGTATCCGTCGGTCTGCTAAACCATATGTTACCATAAAGATCTTTAGAGATCTTTGAACTGCACAGTCCAAATATAGTTTTTACGATCGCAAATATCTTTGAAATAATTAACGGATATTGAATAAACATTTAGCTGCTGGCCCCATCCTGCCAGGAAATTTGTTCCCCCTAATGTGCTAATTGCAACCGCAGAGGAAACCACAAAATAAATATAGTCCCCCCCCCAGTCCATCTGAACAATTTGCAGACCCTTTGGACAGCCACAACCGTCCACAGCTGCTGTCGATTGGCCCCAAGGCAAAGTCGCAGCGTGCGAGGGCTTCGCGACTGTCAAATTAAATTAATAAACACAACAATTGGCAGTGGAGGGCGACTACTGCGAGTGCTGGCCAAAAAGCGCCAACTGGCGACTCCCACACGGACTGGGGGGACGTTACCCCTCTGCACCATTCGCCACGAGGAGGCGACGATGGCGTCGGCAATTGTAAATGAAATTTTTATCAAAATTGAGTTCTCGGGCAACCGGCACTGCGGCAAAGACTCAACTTTTGGCATGCCCCCGGCAATAACGTGCAGAGGGAGGGAGCTGCTCCCCTCCTGCCATCACCTTCCCTTTGTCCGGAGTCCATATTACGGGGTCTGACTCCGGAGTCCGTAGTCCGGACTGTGGGTCTGAGGCCACAGCATTTTGTATTAATTACAACATAGCCAGCGGTGCGGTACTGGCGCTCAAAAAAGTTTCAACATAATTGATTTCATTTTTATTCCCGAATCGTCGGCAGCTTTCTTCGCCGGCGAGATTCACGGGTGGGTCCCCATCCCCACCTCCCATCTCCTACACCCCTTTACGCTGCAAATAAATTGATTGAATTATTGGCCAGACGAGAAGTTGCGCGTCGTCGTCGTCGTTGCAGTGAAAGAATTTACTTTTTAATTTACTCAGAAAGCCGAATAAAAAGGAAAACAATTGAGGTGGCTTAGTGGGCCTAGAAACAAAAACTATCAAAAATTCTATACCCTTTGGAAATATTATTTGCGAAATTTATAAGACTGCAATGCCACACTGACGTGACTTGGAAAGCCATAGGAAAACATATGAATATTTTCAGGCATAAGATCTCGAAATATAAGGCTTATAATTGCCTTAAACCTCTTGTATATCCAGCCACATAAACCCTTACTTAGTCGCCAGTACACTGAAGCAAATGGTAGAGGTAGAAAATCTATAAAATTGATATACCTTATGGAAAGAATTTTTGTAGAATTTATAAGACTGCAGAGCAAAAAAAGCCTTGACTTGGAAAGCTAAGCGAAAACATGGGATTATTTGGCAGCATAGAATCCAGTAATATTAAGCTTATAATTGCCTTAAACCTCCTGTATATCCAGCCACATATACCCTTACTTAGTCGCCAGTATGCGGAAGCAAATGGCCGTGGGATTGGTTTTATTCTTTAAGTGATTTTTTTTTGTCGTTTGCAGTGAGCACATTCTGCTATCATTGTCCTGCGGTAGTGCGTCTGGCTGGCTGGTTATTCGCTTTTGCATATCCACAGATTGAGTTACGCCCCGTTTGTCCTTTGCAGTTGGCCATCGTTGTCGTCGCCTATCAGTGGCATTCGTCCGATTCGTGTCCCGTGGCCGTGAACAGGACGTCCTGGCTGCCTTTTTCCTTCTGCTGCTGCTGCCACCGAGTCTGATTTTTTTTTTCCCATCATCTGCCACTTGGGCACTTGGAAGTTTCAGTTGGGCGGGGGCGGGTTATTGAAAAATCGGATATTGCGTATTTTTTAATTATGAACGAAGCGACCGGAGTCCCCATTAAGTCCCATTTGGATTTAAATTTAATTAAATTTCCCATTGTATACCTCACGAATTGCTCAATGCAAAACGAAGACTGTGGACTGTGGGGGATCAGCTGTGGGACTTACCATTCCTTTGAAGAGGTTCGCCAAAGCAAACTTTAAGAATATTTGAGTGGGGAAAATGTGCAAATAAGTATCTCAGGGCGGAATTCTACGGAACTCTACGGTGCATGCAGAAATATTTTAAGCCATTGCACGAGGAGTGCAGAGTCCGTTGAGCAAATAAACTTGCAAATATCATAAATGCATAGTTTTCGTTGGCTTTCTCTTTTTTTGTTTGGTGTGCGGAAATCCAGACTTTTCAGACTATTCATGTTTGCCCAGACTCGCAAAGGGGGGGAAAGAGGCACACGGTACAGCAGCAATGGCAAGGACAAGCTGCTTCTGCTGCTGCTGCTGCTGCTGCAGTGGCAAGCTGCAAATTTTAATGATATCAAATATATATGTATATGGATAGTGGATAGGGCATAGGGGTATATGTATATCTGGGCACAATGCAGTCGGCATTAAGTGGAAAAGGATGCGGCAAAGGATACACTCGCACATGGGGGGCAGGGCATGCATGCGTAGATTTTATGTATTTGGCTCACGATTTAAGCCCCTCTTTCTGTCTGTCTGTCTGTCTGTCTGTCTGACTGTCTGTCTCTCTGTCTGTGTGGTGTCTGGAAGGACGAAGCAGAAGACATTCGTTGCGGCATAAAATTCAACAATGAGGCGAGAGGCGAGAGTCGAGAGTGTCCTGGCCACAGGATATGCGCCAAAAGCATCCAACAATCAACCCAACGCCTCTCCTCTTCCCCACCCCCCCTGGAACCAAACCGAAATGATGTACTTAATTTTGCGAGCTCCCTTTTTTTTTTTGTCTTTTTTTTGTGTGCTGCTGCTCCTATTTAATAAACTGCATGCAGTTTTCCGGCACTGTGCAAAATGCAAATGAAAACTGCACGCCAGGCCACAAGGAGCAGAAGCAATGAAGAATGGAATCCTTGCTGGGCTGGGCTGGGCTGGGCTGCACCGCAGGAGTCTAGACGTTGACGTTGTCGGTGGTGTCGCCGCCGATAAGCATACGCCTGGGCGCGGCAAATATTATAATACGTGGCCATTATCCCAGCTATGCCGGCGATAAATCACACCAGGACATCTTTGTGTGCCAGCGGCAGACGAGGACGCAGACGCAGTCCAACCAGAACCAGAACAAGAACCCATTGAAATGCTCTGAAGTTGCCCTGGAAACTGGAGCAGTTGGAGTCGCATCCGCGTGGCTGCTACCCCAGAGCAGACGTTTCTCTGGCCATATCTGAGTCGCTGCATCACGGGCACGCTCATAAAATGTTGCGCCTGCCCCACCAGCCATCCAGCCAGCCATCCAGCCAGCCCTTCCGTATTCTGTATCCCCTGTTGGAGGACAAATTTGCTTAGAATTTGAAATGCACGCCAGACAATGGCCGCAGACACGGAAGGACAGAGTCATGAAAGGACTGAAAGGGGCGCTCTGGCTATGAAAAAGAAATAAAAGCCACCCAGAGGAGCAGCAGCCATGGAGGGCAGACCGTGGAGGGAAAGATTGTTAGTTGGGATCTGCATTATTATTATTATTACAGTTGCAAGTTCAAGTTCATGGCTGGCAAGCCCATGGCCTCGACTTGAAATGGAAACCTTCCCAAAGGCATAGTAGGAGAGAATCAGGGAAGCAGAGAAGCAGAGAGAGTAGCCAATTTGCGGATAAGATACAGAACTTGCAAGATATGACAGCAGAGATCTGAAGGTCTTTTGGGTTAGATGACAGCTTGTTCAAGGCTGAGAATACTTTTTGAAATATTAAATGGATCTGGGAATGAAGGCGAATAATTTTTAGATATTTTCAAAACTCATTCATTCCCCGTAGCTCCCACTCTGATCAAACTTCCTTTATATGTATACGAGTACAGTATAAAACACTTGATGTGCCTTGGTTCATCATTTGCCGTACTGGCAGCTCCTCTGGCAGCTCCTCTTTTGTCACAATGCCAAACTTGTCGTTTCAGTGGGGGGGTGGGTGGACGTTCTGCGCTGGTGTCTGGTGTCTGTTGTCCCTGCACGATGGCCATGGTGAAACTTTTGAATAATTCTGTGGACATTCAGCATGCTCCATTGGTGCCTGGCCCGCCTCTGTCTCTGTGTCTGTCTCTGCCAGCGCCAGCGACTGATCCCTGTCCTCGTACTCGTACTCATCCTCATCCCTATGCATACAGCACTCTCGTAAGCTCGGACCATTTTATGGCCGTGTCCTGGCCCCTGTCTGCTCTCATGGCCTTCAGACGCTCATAAACAAGCGACACAAGTTGGACACTGCCAGAGTGGCATCAGGACTAGCAGCAGCAGCAGCAGGCAGCAGGGAGCAGGAGGAGGAGGATGACGACTGGGAGCAGCAGCAGGCAGCAGGAGAACGACGACTGGGAACAGCAGCAGCAGGCAGCAGGATGAGAGTATAAATGGCAGCTTGAAGAGGAGTGGACGGGCTACCTAATGTGCTGGGCGTGGCTTTGCATTTATTCGTGTGTAAAATTTTAATTGAAATATATATTTAAGCAGGGAAACTGCGACGAATGTCACTTGTATCTGTAGCTGTATCTGTAGCTGTTGCTGTAGCTGCATCTGTCGCTGTCTCGCTGGCTCTGTATCTGCATCCAGCAGCAAAGGATGGGGAGGATGAGCTGGAGAGCAGATTGAGCATTGGGCTGCGCGTGTGTTCCGCTAATGTTTTCATTTGCATGCGAAGGACATCAGCCCGGAAGCGCGTTGATATGCAAATGCGTCCTGTGATTATCGAGGCTATCGTCTGTCTGTCTGTGTCTGTGTCTGCTCCTCCCCCTGCTGCTGCTGCTGCTGCTGCTCCTGCCACATGGCTCCATGCACATGTCTGGGTGTTAACTATTTGTTTTTGTGCACTGATTTTATTGGGCAATGTTCCACTCGTTTTTGGGGCGTGGCCCTTTGTCTAGCCAGCAGGCAGACGCCCCGAAACTCTGCAGTTCAGCATTTATTTCTAGTTTAAATCGGAATACTACTTAAAGAACGCTGGCTCTCGCCGTAATTGTAGACATGGTAATTGTAGAAAGTTGCCAGTTCCGGATTGCGTTGCCTTTTGGCATCGCTGGTCGGCACCAGCAGCGTGGCATTGGGTATCCTCCTGTCGTTGTGGTATCTCTCGCCGGGCGCACACAGCGCTGGATATTTGGAGTCGCGACGCTTGCAGGCACTGCCCGCCTTGCCGGTCAGCTTGTAGAGGCTGCGCTGCACGAAGACATCCGTGCTGAAGGCGCACACGAACACGAAATGATGGAAGCCGCTGAAGGGGAAGCGCATGGCCGTGCAGCCCACATGGGTGTTAGCCTCCGAAATGAGTAGAGCAGCATTGATGATTCTCCTAAAACGAAAGGCGAAATATTCGTTGAAGGCTCGCTGTGGCAGTCAATCGATTCGATCGATCTCACATGTCTCCAATATCGTCCGGCATGTAGATGACCATCCCCAGTGAGATATCCGCCAGTCTCTTGGTCCAGTCTGTCACCATATTCAGTATTATTTCGTAGTCCTCGTATTCGTCCAGCCTGCCCGAGTACTTGAACGCATCGAAGATGGAGCCGACGTAATAGAAATTCTCCGTGCTCAAGCAGTACTTCAGCATGCTGCAGGAGATGGCCGACAGCTTGGCCATGTGCTCCAGCTCCCTGGACCAGCTCATTCTGGCCATGCGGGCAGCTGGCCGCAGCTTCCCCTGCCCGCTGGCCACACTGTTGCGGAACTCGTTGAGCACACTCAGCAGCGAACTGCGGTACACTGTCATGGGTATGACCCTCGTATTCGGCATGCATTTTGCGTTGAATTTCTGCCAAGAAATCATTGAATTATGTTCGATTTTTCGTGATACTTTTTGGGTGCTCCGCTTACGCCATTGTTGTCGCAGGCCAGATTATTTTCCCCGCAGTCGGACAGCTTGCAATAATTGCCACTGCCCAGCCCGTGGGGCAGAAAGAGCAGCAGCAGCAACGCTGTCAGGTATGCGTATGCCAAGATGCACATTTCGTTGGATTTCTCTTCGAAGACTGCCTGCCAGGTCTACGCTATACGCCGTATATATACCCCTCTCAGCTTTGATTGTTCTGCGAATTGTTTGCCAGATATAGCAGGAATTGGATATAGCAAACGATTACAGCAGTTGTTCGATTGAAACCAAACTATTGATAACTTCTTTAGAATTTTATTATATCCGACATGCCCACTCTTCCCCCTCTTTTCTTCCATTATTCTATGCCCAGTAATACCAGCAATTTGCTGTAAATTCAGCATTGATTAGGCGGCATCGAGGTGGGTGGAAACCAGAGCCAGCACCTCTTTGTGGCAAGCGGCGCATGTGGCTGGCACATTTGTCAAACGGCAGCGGAGTCGGCAAAACTTCAACGTCAGCGCCAACGCATAGGCAAAACAAAACTCTCAGCTAAACTTCGGCTGTGTCTCTGTGAGTCGAGTGCTAAATGGGAGATGCAGTACGTGCCCGCCGTCCCACCCGTCTCAGGTGCTACAAACAGGCGCCCACCTTACAAAACTATAAACAATTTATGGGTTTGGGCAGTCTTTTGCACCATGGCAGTACGGAGTGCCCCCCTCCCCACGCGGACAGCATGCATGCCAACGTGCATGCCAAGCGCCTTTGCATTTGCTGTCAATTGTGCTGGCAACATATTGGTCCGCACTGCAGACCCGGACACCAGCAACATGTTGACAGCGTGAGCGGACTGACTGGGCGGCAGAGCTTCTCGTATTGCATTACAACTGCCCCTGCCCCCTGCCCACGGCCCACTGCACCCTCCAGCTCAGTGTTCCGTCCAGCTCACTGCCCCTTGCCTCCTGCCAAACAACATTGTGAACTAGTTTACAGTTGTGTTTTAGTGCTGCGGCTACACTGCAGCGAGGGGCAGGAACTACGCCTCAATGTCTCCTCTACTTCACACTCGTTTCGAATACCAAATCTTATTTATATCATTTCTCGCAGTGTAGCTAGTTTTGTTATAGCTTTTTGCTGATTTGTCTATCACTCGGGCTGTTGGCGGCAACATTGTTGTTGCTGCTGCTGTGTTGGTTGGCTGCTTGGTGGCAGCAGCACAAAAACTTTGTTGCACTTGAACTTATGCCCCACGGTTATTTGGCTAATTATTCGCCTGGGCACTTGGCCACTTTGTTGCAGCACCACCACCACTTGCCCCTGCTATCACTTACAACAACAACAAATTGTTGCAACAGCAGCGCGAAGCAGCGCGAAGAAGAAGAATGATCTCGTTGAAAGTTTAACAAGTGTTAACTTTGCCATTTTCATTTTCATTTCTTTGGGTTTTATTTTGTATTCATTTCACAGATAAGCTGGGGCAAAATGCGCAAAAGAAAATGGGGCGAAAATCCGTGGAAAGAGACGAGAAGCGTCGCTGCCGTGGATTGTGTGGCAGCTGCTGCCACGTTGCCACGCTGCCACTGTTTCTGCTGCTGAGCAACTACAGTGAAATAATTTTAAATGACCGCAAGTGTGTAATTAAAGTGCAGCGCATAATAAGAACAACAATTATAGCAATGGCAAGGGGCAAATGAGGGAAGAGCGAAAGCAACAACAATTACAAATGGAAACTGAAGCAATCAGCTTTTCTCCGCTGTAGGAAAACTACCAGGCGAGTGCCTGGCCTTGCCCTGCCCTGCCTTGCCGGGCTGTGGCAAAAGAAATCCTCAAGGAGTTGAACTTTTGGCCGGGTTATTCCCCAAATTGGGACTTGAGCCACAGCCAAAGCCCCAGAACCAGAACCGGCTCTGGATCTGGCTCTGGCTTGATTTCAAATGGGAAGCTGTGCAGAATCGAAATTAAAATTAATTAAACAAAATGCTCAAGTGCCATGGGTCTTCATTGTTTATGGATTGTAATTGAAATGCTCCTTATCGAGTGTGCACTTCGGCAGTGGTTTGACTCTGAAGTGCACGAAAAGTGCACAATGGCCAGGTGCAGCAAATAACGGGAAAATGCACTAAAATTTTAAATTTTTAATTCAGCAAATAAAAGAATAATATGGGAGTATGCTTTTTAAGCGTTAACTTTAGATGGAAGATTCATTCCAAATGGGTTGAATAATATATTATATTATTATATATTTAATTTTATTATATTCTATATGTATATGTACATATATGTATGTATATATATTTTATTATTTTATTATACTATATTGATTTATTGTTACCCCCCTCTATAATTAATTAGGATCCCCCATTAAATTGTTAATAATTACTGCTCTTCATTGTGTGATTTCTGCGTTAATTTATCGTACACACATTCGTGACATGCACCCGCATAAACGTTCACGCATAAACACAATGCCCAACAGTCGAAACATTTAATTATTTGCATTTGTCGCTGATTTCTCTCTCCCTCCCTCCCCCACCCATCCGCTTAGTATCTTTCGCTGCTGCTGGTTTCAGCATGCAACTGGATGCAGTGCAACTTCCGCTCGGCTGCCTACTTCCGTTTGGCCCCAGACCCCAGATGCCCAGATGCCTGAACCTCGGACCTGCACCCCAATTCGACCCCAGCCAAAGTCCACATTTTGTGATCCATTTGGCAGCCACCGACAGCAGCAGCAGCAGCAGCAGGAGCGGTGGCAGCAGCAGCCACTTTTATGTGTATTTAAAATCGTTAAAAATAATCTGCAAATTGTGAATTTTTAATGCATTTCATGTCTGCTGATGGCTGCCCTTTCCCCCTTGCCATATCCAATGGGGGTGCTCCAAATGGGGTATGGTGTCGTGGTCCCTGGGGGCAATAATGGCGTCTGGTGGGCGCGTCAGCGTCTGGTTCTGGTTCTGGTCATCCTCATTCACATCGTCATCATCATTATCATCAACAAAGGCATTGTCCCCCGAATCATCATACCCGAATCATCATCATCATCATCATCATCATAGTCAACCCATCGTCATTTGCATTTATTGTTTTTGTGCCTTTGTGTGCGAAAAGTGATCAGCGATTGCCTTGGACCCACGACCCGGGACACAGCATACAGGACACAGGAGTACACTGTCGTACATATGTATAGGCTTCCTCCTATATATTACATACGTACAAGGATGTGCGTACAATATATATACGTACATAAATATGCATATGGAAATATGTCTCATTGTGCCGGAGTCCTGCATTGATTGCACAACGGAAGTGTTGTGGCGGAATTAAAATAAATAAATGCATTCGCATTTCCCACTGGTGGCTGGCGACTCTCATCTGGGAACTGACTTCCTCCAGCGGGGATTTTCCACTGAAGTCTGTCGCTGGGAGCTGTCTCTGACTCTGGGCTCTGGGCTCTGACTCTGGGCTCTGACTCTGTGTCTGATGCTGGCTTGTTGCTTCATTTGTTGCACATTAAACAAGGCCATAAGTTACTGCTGCTGGCTCCGTAGTTGACAGCCTTTAATGGTTAAATTTGCTCCGTCTGCCCGAGGGGGGGAGGGGGAGTTGAGTGCCAAAAGGGATCTTATATTTATGTACGTACAAGCAAGTTAAATCATCTTAAAGTTGTATGTGAATTCCATGCCATGGGCTCACTTTCAGTTCCCTAAGTCCCAAAAGTATGCAAGAAAGGGCAAATTGATATCTTTGCCCCGCTGTTGCCACAACATCTCATTATTCCTGGTATTCCATTAGTTTTTGCTCATTATAATATTATTATTTTCCCTGTATTCTCTCCCACATACACTCTTTAAGGTGGAAACTTTATTCGTGTTATTGATTTGAGGCGAAAGGTAACCGAATTTCGCGGCTCATTTAATCCACAGCACGTAGCTACATCTCTGTGCCAAAAACACGTAGATTCGTATCTGACAGATACAGCACAACCCCCGCACCACCGCCACCCACCTAACCAGAAACAAATCAAATCGAAGGTTGCCGCTTACTTTGATGTCTCATTAGTCGGTCGGTTGCCAGGTGATGGCGATGACGACGACCATAAGTATGGGATGGAATGGGGATGGAAACTGAGACGGAGCTGAAATCCAGATGCAGGAATGTGGGTGGCAATTGGGGGCATAGTTACACGTATTTTGAGAGCGTGTGCCACAAGTTAACCGTGCCAGCTGCCAACTGTATCCTTATTCGCATCCGTATCCGTATCTATTTCACCTGATTTTGGTTTTCTTTTACTGATACTTGTTTGCCCTCCCTGCAGCAGGCAGGGAGCAGCGTATAATCAGTGGGAGGATTGCTCCCATTCGGTTCATCTTGCACTGCTAATTGAATGGGGGACGGGGGACGTGGCGGAGGTGCTGGAAAATCGAACTGAACTGCTGCAATCACACTTGAAATATGACAACACTTAATGGTTATATTAATTAACATAAAAATGCCCGATGGCCGTTGTCGGAAACGCCTCGACCATAACATAACCGAGAGGAAATGCAGCTTTTGACTGCACATCGATATCGATGGCGATGTCGATGTCGATGGCGATGGCGAGTCGATGGCAAATGTTGGGGGAGTGTGCTCCGGAATATGGCCGGAATATCCGCATATCCGTGTGCACTCAAAAACTGAAGTGTTGCGGTGTGGCACTTGCGATAATGAAGCGCTGAAAATATTTGCATATTGCCAATTTGCATTCATTCCGGTCTTGCGGCTTAAAGTTTCTCATTAAAGTTGCGGCTGTTGTTTGCCGGAATGCCTGAATGCCATTCAACTGTTGACAGTTTCTGTTCCTCAAGTGGGTCCAAGTGGGTCCAAGGGCACACTTCATCAATAACTTCTGCGTGCCTCTGCCCCTGCCCCTGCTCTGCGATTTATTCCCCTTGCGAATATCTTACCTCAACAACAATTACAACTTTTGCCTTGTTTTCTCGGAGATTCTCTTCTAGTTTGCTTCCCCGAAACTTTTGCAGTCGGCGAAGCAAAGTTTTCAATGTTGCCGCATATTAAACAAAATAAAGGGAATATATTTATACTCGTACCGCTCCCCCAAAACAACAAAAAATAGAAAAAGTTCAGCGTTTTTTTTCGCATCCTTGGCTGCCTCTTTGGGC